ACTAGCCTTGTGCAAAAGAAGCTCAGGGACAGTGCCCAGGCCCTGAGTTCAAGCCCCAGGATTGGCAAAAACAAATCAGCCAAGTGCAAGTGGCTCACACCTATAATCCTAGCTACTCAGGAGGCTAAGATCTGAGGATCACGTTCAAAGCCAGCCCGGGCAGGAAAGTCCATGAGACTCTTATCTCCAATAAACCACCAGAAAACTGAAGTGGCACTGTGGCTCAAGTGGTAGAGTGCTAGCCTTGAGCTGAAGAGCTGAAGGACAGTGCCCAGGCCCCGAGTTCAAGCTTGAGTTCAAGCTCCAGGACTGACAACAACAACAAAAAACAAACAAAACAAAACAAAAAAAAAACACAGCAAAATCAGGGATAAAGATGTGGCTCAAGCAGTAAAATGCCAGCCTAGCCTTGAGTTCAAAATCCAGTATCAAAAAAAATTTTGAATTGTTCATAACACATAATTTGTAAAGAGCTACTATATTGCATAGTGATATTGCTAACAATACTGTATTATAAACTTGAATTTTGCTATGACAGTGGATCACAAAAACCACAGCAATAAGAAAAGAAGCAAGCGGAAATGGGGAGAGGGGGAGGGTCAGTATATGAGTTGATGGTTTTGTGGGTAAACACTTGCCCAAACTCATCGAGATGAGTATATTAGATATATATAGCTCTTTGTATGTCAATCATACATCAGTATTGTGTTGTTGTTTTTTTAAGGGAAACACAGAAGGAAAAATCTCAGCCATCCAGTTTTTTGTTAGTTTTTTTGTTGTTGTTGTTTTTGTCGGTTGTGGGGCTTGAACTCTGGATCTCAGTGCTGTCCCTCAGCAATTCAGCTCAAGGCAAATGCTCTACCACTTGAGCCACAGTGCCACTTTGTTTTCTAGTGGTTTATTGGAGATGAGAGTCTCATGGACTTTCTTGCCTGGGCTGGCTTTGAACTGTGATCCTCAGATCTCAGCCTCCTGAGTAGCTAGGATTATAGACATGAGCCACTGGCACCCGGCCAGTTTTTGCTGTTACTATTTTGAGATAAGGGTTTCAGTTTTCCCAGACTGGTCTCAGACTACAAAGACCGGGGTAATTCTCCTGCCTCAGCCTCCCAAGTAGTTGGGACTACAAACTTGTATGGTGTTTTGTTGTTGTTTTGTTTTGTTTTATCTTAATTCTCTGCAGTGGAGAAGGTAGAGCCCAGGGTCTAACATGTGCTAGGCAATCAGTGACCACTGAGCTACAGTTCCAGGTTCTAGAAGCTCAGCCTTCAGATCCCAGGCCCCATCTTTACCAGTGCTTAAGATGCTTCGAGGGCTGGGAAGGTGGCTCAGTGGTAGAGCGCTTGCCTTGCTTGCTCAAGGCCCTGGGTTCAATTCCTCAGCACCCCATAAGCAAAAAGAAAAAAGCCGGAAGTGGCGCTGTGGCTCAAGCGGTAGAGGGCTAGCCTTGAGCTGAAGAGCTGAGGGATAGCGTCCAGGCCCAGAGTTCAGGCCCCACGACTGGACCCCAAAAAAAAAAAAGATGCTTCCAGCCCTGGTAAAACCATAGGCTTTGTCTCTGGAGAGGGACATGGTAAAACCTTGAGGTTAAGGATCTCTGAGACACACCAGCTTCCGGGCAGAGAGTGAGATGCTAAACAGTAAATACAGATACACCCCACCAGCCACTCTGCACAACACAGCCAGACTCTGCATGCAGCCAGATCCATAGACACGTGGCTACCGGGGGTTTGTTTGTTTGTTTGTTTCTGGAATCTGCCCAGCCTTCCCTCCTGGACTGGGAAGATAACAAGGAGACCATGATGTTGACCTACTTAAATCATACTGTAACTGTCTGGGGAGGACAGAAAGGATAGAAATGGTACCTATATGTGGAATGGAGTAGGTGAAGTGCTAGTCTTCAGCTGAAGAGCTGAGGGACAGTGCCCAGGCCCAGAGTTCAAGCTCCACGATTGACAACAAGCTCCATATATATATATATATATATATATATATATATATATATATATATTTATATATATATATCAGGCCTTGAAAAAGTATGTTCATGATAAAAAATTTTAAATTAACATGAAATAAAATTTAACAACCATGTTTTAACTAACTTCTAGAATAATTCAAGGCACCATAATAGAAATTTCTCATGCTGCACCTCAGGATGGAAGACTTAGTATAAAGCAGAAAGCTAAGCGCCTGGGCCCTGGAGACAGACCAGTCACTCTGTGTGATCTTGAGCAAATGATTGTACCTTCCCTGCCTCATTGGCCTCCTCTGTGGAACAGGAATAATAATTGGATTATTTTGTAAGGCTTAAATAATATAGTTCCTACAAAGTACTTAAAACCTTGTTTGGCCCATAAGACACATTCAGTAATTACTCTCATCAAGACACATTCATTTCTGTAAGAGATGGCTACAATTACCACATCGATCTCATGTTTCATTAGCTCATAGTTCATTTTCCCAGTGTCATCTGTGCTGTAATCGGTAGACTTTTCTAGAACAAGATGTACCCCCACCTAGTGTGCTGTCCCTTTTATGGGGGGGGGGGAAAGGAAGTAGTGGGATTTGAACACAGGGCCTTATGTTTGTTAGGCATTTGAGCCACATCTCCAGCTTTTGTTGCTCTAGTTATTTTTGATGTATGGTCTCACTTTTTTGCCCAGGCCAAACTGGACCATCATCCTATTTTATAGATAGATAGATAGATAGATAGATAGATAGATAGATATAGATATAGATATAGATATCTTTCCCAAGTAGATGTATTTTTTTTTGGCCAGTCATGGGGCTTGATCTCTAGGCCTGAGCGCTGTCCCTCAGCTCTTCAGCTCAAGGCTAGCGCTCTACCACTTGAGCCACAGCGCCACTTCTGACTTTTTCTGCTTATGTGGTGCTGAGGAATCGAACCCAGGGCCTCATGCATGCAAGGCAAGCGCTCTACCACTGAACCACCTTCCCAGCCCAGGTAGATGTATTTATACATCTTTGCTGGGGCCTAGGCACTGTCCCATGGGCTGACACACATATGGTACCACTCTCAGCTGTTGTTTACAACGGATCCTCTTTTCTTTTTTTGGTCTAGGCTGGCCTAGAACTGTGATCCTCAGATCTTAGCCTCGGGAGTAGCTAGGATGACAGGAGTGAGCCACCAGAATGGGTTCCAATAAGCTGTTTCTAATTGACATGGTACCTGGAAACGAATCACCAAGCTTATTATTGTTCTAACGAACAATGTGTGAATGAGAGGAAACTGCTCTGAAAAGCTCTCTTGAGGCAGGTCGGCACGCTTCAGTCTGTCAACTACCTGTCTGATCGCTCCAAACCTTTTGGGTTTACTTCCTGATTGTCAACTGCAGTGACACTCAGGACATCCCACTTTGCCAGATCCTGTTGGAGTGATGACACAGGAAGTCCCACCTCCCTGGCATTCCCAGGCCTGAACTGGGCAAATGATTTAAGCCTTTTGAGCCTGTTGTATCTACCATAAAATAAAGGACAGTAGGCTGTTGGGGATTAAATGAGTGAGTGTTTGTATAATCCCGACACACATGGTGGCTGCAGCTACTTATTATCATTATTACTGCTACCAACAGTGTGGTAATAGTGATCAGGGAAATCACCTCTAACTTGCTTTTTTTTTTTTTGAGCCAGTCCTGGGGCCTGAACTCAGGGCATGGGCACTGTCCCTGAACTTCTTTTGCTCAAGGCTAGCACTCTACCTCTTGAGCCACAGCACCACTTCTGGCTTTTTCTGTGTATATGGTACTGAAGAATCATGCTTGGGGCTTCATGCATGCTAGGCAAGCACTCTACCACTAAGCCACTTCTCAAGCAGCTGACATGTTTATTCTTTGTCCTACACAATTGTTTCAGGAACTAAGACACAGTAAAGAAATGTAATATTCAACATAGTTGACTTCTTGATTGGGCAAAGACGGGCAGGTGTCATTTCATACAGGAGTCTTTTTATTGCAATAACTATTTCTAAGTTTGAGGACAGACAATACACAAGAACAGCAGGCAAAATAGCTGAAATTGGTTTTCTAGTGGTGTCTCACTTATTCACCTCATCATGACTTAACCTGCCAAGTCCATCCCTAAAAACAAATAAGGACTTTTAAGCTGGGCTACCAGCTTAAAAGTAGCTACTAGTTACTAGCCACTCAAGAGACTCAGAGCTGGAGGATTTCAGTTCAAAGTCAGCCCAAGAGAAAAATCCACAACTCTCCATCTCCAAATGGCTCAAATGGCAGAGTGCCAGCCTAGCAAGCAAACTGAACAAGCCCTGAGTTTCAGTTTCAGTACTGGGGGGGGGGGGGGGGGGGGGGGGGGGAGGGGAGGGCGGGGAAAGCTGGGCACCAGTGGCTCACGCCTTTAATCCTTGCTACTCAGGAAGCTGAGATCTGAGGACCATAGTTCAAAGCCAGCTCAGGCAGAAAAGTCTATGAGATTCTTCTCTCCAATTAACCACCTGGAAAAAACAGAAGTGGTGCTGTGGCTCAAAGTGGTAGAGCACTAGCCCAGAGACAGCACCCAGACCTTGAATTCAAGCCCCAAGATCAACCCAAGCAAACAGACAAACAGAATCAACAAATATGGATTCTTACCACCAAACAAATTCAATACCCTATCTAATCTCAAAAGCTGAAGCAATTCATTACTTTATAGAATTACAGTCTGAAGTCACTCACCTCTGGGTACAATCTTTCTTAGAGCACATTTGCTATAAGCAAAGGTATACAACTGGAGTTAGATAACTCAAAGGATCCCAAATCACTCAAAGCCAAAGCCTGGAAACTGAGTAGAAACAGGAAGGAAGTGGAGACTTCTCTCTATTCTAAAGATCCTCAAGCTCCCCCTTCCCTTATTTCCACATTCCTACAGCCCATGTCTCCACTGGGTGCCCAAGGTCTGTGACCACAAAACCTCCAGAAGCCTTGAGGGTGATCTGGCCCAACCCACTAGAGCAGGAGTGAGTGTAGAAAGAGACTACTCACGGTTTCATGCACACTGGGGCAGCTGACAAAAATCCACAGTTCTGACCTCTGAGTGAAGATCTCTAGGAAGGAGGACTGGAGAATTTGTGCTGCTCGGGAAGCTTCCCGGGGACATCACAGTTGCGCACAAATTTGAGAGCCACTCCTCAAGGGAGATGACAGCCAGCAAGATGCACAACTAATAGCTAGGCAAGGCACCAGCCTCAGGCTGCAAATGTGCCCAGCAGGAATAACCATATCTGGTTGGCAGGATGGAATGAGGTCATGGGTACTGCCCTTCCCCGCCCACCCCCTCCTCGCCACGGTGCCTCACACATAGCTTGTGGGACCTTCTAACCTAGACTGCTCACACCAGCTCATGTTTGGAATAAATGTCACTAAGGAAAGCAGGTGGTCACTTTAGGCTAAGGTTTCCCCCACACACACACACCCTGGGTTAATGAGTCATCAACGACAAAGACTCAGGCTAACAGATTATTTCACCAATGACTGGATTGTAAGATGTACTGGGGGAGGGGGGGAAATGGAAGGGGGACTCTCCCACTCAGCATCTATCCACCTCACCAAGATGACTTGTAAAAGAGATTCTGCCCCCCCCCCCCACTCTACCCCCCTGCATCAGATTGAGCGGTTCTGGGCTGAGAATTTGCATGTCTGACCAGTTGAGGGGTGGGTGCTACTGAACCCAGAACCCCACCTTAATCATCACTGCTATGGAGAAGTGTAGCTCACTCATCAGGCTTTGCAGTAAAAAGGAAAGCTATGCCGTGTGGTACTTCCTGTTTGACACCAGACGGGTTAGCTACATGTAAACAAAAAAAGCAATAAACCAACTGTTTCCGAAGCCTGGTTGCCTTTGCTTAGTCCTTTTCTGAGCAGGGCCGAGAGAGAAGCACAGGGCGGCTCTGAGCCTCATTGGCTCACCTAGGTGTGCAGGTGGGTGTGGTCACAGGGTCCCAAACCCGACCAGACAACCACGATCACCAAGCAGTATTTTTAACAAAACCAGGATCCACGAGCCCTCACCACAAGCCTAACAAATTAGAATCTCCAAAGGAAAAACCAAAAGAATGTTGTGTAGGATTCAGTTTTAAATCATAATTCCCAGAGTGACTTTGCATCTTCTTTGACCATGAAAGCCTTCTGTTAGTTTTGATTTCTAAGTGTGTGAGCTCTAAGTCAGTCAGGGCCCCCAAACAGTCTCTACACCTCCACCCCATAGAGGGGTTTTCGTTGTTGTTGTTGTTTGTTTTTACAAGAGTAAACAAGTATCCAGCACTGGTGGCTCACACATGTGTAATCCTACTCAGGAAGCTGAGATCTGAGTACAAGGTTTGAAGCCAGCCCTGGCAGGAAAGTCTGGGAGACTCTTATCTCCAATTAACCAGCAAACAGAAAAACCAAAAGAAAAATGGAAGTGGAGCTGGGGCAGCTCTAGTCTTGAATGAAAAGGTTCAGGGACAGCACACAGGTCCTGAGTTCAAGCCCAGGACTGACAGATACAAAAAAAAAAGAGGAAACAAGCACACTAGTCCCCAAACACATGAAGCAAGTGTGCTTAGCAGTTCTACACTTCATGTATCAATAAATGGGCATTCACTGTTTAGTTCTGAAAACAAAAGAATTCCACAGAACTTCGTAAAGGATCATCTGTAACTGCTGGCTTATTCACCCATTCACTATCAATTTAGCACTCACCAGTGCTGTAGGCGTTAATTATTCTAGGCTCTCAGCAGATAACAAGCAGCAGACAAAGCAGAGCCCTTTCCCTCAAAGACAGAACATTTTCTGAAGAAGAAACTAATAGCAAACAAGGAGACACAAAGATAAAATCAGCCAAGCACTCACACTTGTAATCCTGGCTGCTCCGCAGGAGGATTGCAGTTTGAAGCAGTCCAGGTAAAAAAGTCTGCAAGACTTTTGTTTCCAAAATAGCCAGAAAAATAAAGCAAGTGTAGGGCTGCAGCTAAGCGGTAGAGCACCACCTGGGTGTGAGGTCATTAACTCAAACCCTGATACCAGTAAATAATAATTTTGAGTAATAAATTAAGGGCTATGAAGCCCACAGAATACTACAATGAGCACTGCACACTCGTTTGAACAGACCACTCAGGAAGCCTTCTTTTGAGATTCCATATTAACTCTGAATGAGGTAAAAGGAACCGTCATGGCAGGTGCTTAGATGTCTGGACTACTTTAATCTAGGAGAAAGCCACAATGTGCTTGTTCATTCACTGTGATAGTCCAGAAAGACTCAAGGAAGGAACTTCGGCGGTTGGTAATGATCCATCTAAAAGTCATTTCCTTTGAGCAATAAAGTCAGACAGCTTAGGGTTGCCCACCTCCCAAATGGTCATCAGCAAGAAATGACTAGCAGACTTCTAGAGACTCACACCTGTAATCCTAGCTATTCTGGAGGCTGAGATCTGAGGACTGAACTTTGTGGCCCCCAGGAGTAGAAAATTCTTTTAAGGCTTATCTCCAATTAGCCAATAGACTGGGGGTATGGTTCAAGTGGTAGAGCTCCAGCCCTGAGCAAAAAAGCCAAGTGAGAACTTGAGGCCATGAGTTCAAGCCCCAGTTTAGCACCATAAAGAAGGAAGGAAGGAAGGAAGAAAGGAAGGAAGGAAGGGAGGGAGGAAGGGAAGGAGGGAGGGAGGGAAGGGAAGGGAGGGAGAGAGGGAGGGGGGGGGAGGGAGGGAGGAAGAGAAGGAGGGAGGGAGGGAGAGAGGAAGGAAAGAAAGGAGGGAGGGAGGGAGGGTAGGATGGATTATCAGCATAATAGCCTGCAAAGAACACAGCAGGGAATCACAAACCTGCCTCCTGCGACCCTCCTGCCCACTCCTAACCCTGCAGCCTGAGGCCCAGCTCTGACATCAGAGATGGAAAGGAGGCTGGGCAGCCTAGCTGCCAAGGCCTCTGAGCAGATCTTAAATTACACAATCCTGTCATGTAACTGGCGAGGTTTCCTTATCGGAGTGGCTGATGAATCCGGGGGGTGGTGGTTTTCAGTCACAACGGCTAAACTTGGAGAGCTCTAGTTCAGCAGGAAATGAGGTGCTAATGAAGAAACCGTCCGGTCTTGCTATTTCTGTGGCCCCTTCTTCACCATGGCATGGGGGGCACTGGGAACTGGGGGAACAGTGCTCCTGGTGAGCCCATACCCAGCTCAGTTCCCCACCCTCTCACGTCTTTCTGGCAGGCTCCTACCATGTGGAATTGCACAGGGTCAAGCCCCATAGTCCAGCCTCTCACTTCCTTTTGCTAGGTTTTGGGGTTTTTTGGTCTGTAGTGTAGCTTGAACTTAGGGCCTGGATGCTATCCCTGAGCACTTTTGCTCAAGTAGCGCTCTACCACTGGGCCACAGCTCCACTTCTGGTTTTCTGCAAGAGTGTCATGGACTTTCCTACCCAGGGATGGCTTTGAACTGTGATCTTCAGATCTCAGCTTCCTGAGTAGCTAGGACTACAGGTGTGAACCACCAGCACCTGACTCCTCTTGCTAGTTTTCTTCACAGAGTCCATGCTGCTTGGGGGGGCCAATCTGGCACCCCCAGAAGGACTTCAGTCCACATGTTCTCTGGGTGCAGTGGCTCTTAGAACGCTCCCCCTGCTCCTTATCAGTAGTGGCCATTGATTATGTATATAAAGTTCTTGAGTCCTAGCCCTCACTTAGTGACTCAGACTTGGCATGAGGGAGAGGTTAGCAAGACAGCAATGGTAGGGAATCAGGTTCAGTCCACTTTATATAATGGACAGCATGTGAATCTCAGGGACTTCCAAGGCACAAAGGTTCGGGGACTTACATGCAGGGTTTCTTGGTGACCAGGCTTCATTGCTCTTTGGGTGTTGTAGAACACTTCCTGTCAGTTCTGGCCGCTAACCCTCCAAGTGCCCATAGCAACTCCCTTCCCTACCCCCCCCCCCCCCCGCCCCGTTGGAAACATTGAAAATGTCTCAAGACATTGCTAAACCTCCTCCCCACCACCCCTCTGCAAAGGGAGAGGGTTAAAACCACTGCCAGCTAAGCCACAGGTGGAATGCACACAGCTAGTCATCAGCCACAGAGAGACTAAGCGCCAGCCCACTGATACTTGGCTCTCCTGTCTCCAAAGGAGCCCTAGGGCACAGAGATGAGTCAGTCCTGAAGAAAGGCCACAACCACCTCCTGCCCTTGTGGCCTCAGCAGGGAAGGGTAATGGAGAGTTGCCCAGACTCTGACAAGAAAAGTTAAGCCCAGCACAACAACCAGCGGTTCGTTGGGCCATTTTTGGAACTGAGTGTCATGGACACATAAGGGCAGTAACTTATCTTTTCAAGGGCTGTTAGATCCCGCCACTTATTCTTGGGATCATGCTCTTTAAATAGTGAGATTCATCATGAAAACCAATCACGCACAGTACTCTATTATTAGTTTAGCTAGGTGAGGCCTTGTTTTTGCTTCTAATGACACAAATATCCAGGAGATTACCAGCAAGGATACCAGATAGGATCTGACCAGTCACTCGCTGACGTGGTGGGCTGAACTACAGCAAATAAGAACACACTGATTTTTTTTGGTCGCTTGGCAACCAATTTTATTATGTTTTGACCAGGCAGCTGATAGGACTCTGTGAGTTAACCAATGAAGTTATGATAAAACAAGATTAGTGAATGTGAATATGGTTTTTCTAGTATCAGAGAAAGCATGTTCATTTTCAAGGCTGCCTTATTAAATGGGTAGAAATAACTTTAAAAAATGAATAGTAAAACAATATCTACTGATCCTAAAAATGACAGTTTTGGCTCTATTACTGGAGAATCATAGCCCAGGTCAGCCGAGGCATAAGGTGAGACCCTACCTCAAAAATAACAAGATATACAGGGGTTAGTAGTATGCTCAAATGGTAGCGTAACCTGCTTATTAGCACACTTGAGGCCTGGAGTTCAACCCCTAACACCACCAAAAAAAAAAAAAAAACAAAGTAGATACACGCATAGTCATGAAATGAACAGGAACTCACCATTTTTTGGACATTATCATGATTAATACATTTCCTGTGCACAAACATGACTTCTGACTAAGGCTGGTTAAAGTTGTGTTTTGGAGCTAGGCATGGTAGTTCACACCTCTAATCCTACTACTTGGGAGGCAAAGACAAGAGGATCATAGGCTAGAGGCCAGT